TGCCTATGTGGCACATCTCAGTGCAGGGAAACCTGCCAAAGTTTTCGGGTATATTCCCGACTACACGGGGAACCTTAACCTGTCAGACGATAGCAAGTTTCACCCGCGCGTACACCTAGCACTACAGAATTTCGTACGAAATTACTTCAGAGTGGAACATGTAGTAGCAGTTCGATTGGCTAAGAGTGTGTCAAGCCTACCTGCAGTAAAGTACGCCACCGGGTCTACGCTGATCCACTATGACAATGACATTAGCCCGGCGTTCCACTACTACGAATGTGTTGGCACAGGCCTAAACATCTCTCAGATTACTGGTAGCACTTACTCCAGACTTATTCAATGCTTGACTTCACGTGTCCCTTCCTTAGGATTTCACGATGACCTGGCTAAATATCAGCATCCAAGCAATACGTCTGGAGAACACGAGTCGCCAGGAAACAGGCCTTCTCCAGACACACCAGATGCTTCATCGCCTAGCGAAGGCCGTCTGTCGACAATCTATGAGGAAAATGAGGAACACAATATCGAAGCCATGATGCTGGAAGAGTGGTACGACGAACTACGTATGGACCTTCATCCTACGACGATTACAGATGATTACTCTATTGCGTCCCAACAACTATGCTGCCTAACCAATGCGTTTTGGTTTCAGCATTTGCGGACGAAGATGATATTACATCATCAGATATGCTCGGAGACGAGCCTAATTTATGTGAGTCTTGTCTAGTATCTCTTTGTTCGAACACAAACGACGAGAGCTATTCCCTAGACAGTGATGAATATGGTCCTTACGTTGCTCTATGCTTTACATCAGAAATGTCAAAAATAGTGTTGGATCAGACCCAACTTGCACAGCTCGATACCGATATGGTCGCAGCGATGAGAGTATATGTATCCAATGCTGCTAAACGTGCTGTGGTTGTCAAAGAAGACGACCTACTGACCAAAGCCGACATAGCAGCACATCCAAAGGAGGTTAGTGAAGCCTTATATATTGAGCTCAAGATCTGGATTGCTAACCGATGCTTTGAGATGTACGACTTATCCAAAGCTTCCAACATCATGACATCCAGATATGTATACAAGTGGGAGTTCGTAAAGATGGGCACCGCGAGCGTTAAAACCATTCGTCTCAGATTGGTCCTTCATGGATTTATGGATACTGAGGCCTTTGATGTGGAAACATTCTCGGGAACCGCCCGAAGGCAGTCTCAACGACTCTTGGCAAGTGAAGCGGCATGTCATCCAGAGTGGATCTCAGCATCCATGGATATCGATAAGGCGTTCCTTAAAGGTTTGACCTACGAGGAACTTGCCCATGCCACTGGCGAGGAAACTCGCATGGTCTGCTTTACCCTTCCACCAGGAAGCGCTCAGGTACTTCGTACCCTACCTGGCTTCTCATCCTACGACGAAAGTCGACGCTGTCTTAGGTGCCTCAAACCAGGAACGGGTACTAAGGACGCCCCAAGAGCGTTCTCTCTCAAACTTCGTACGACCACACGAGCTATAGGACTTACACCGACTAGTTACGATCCTGAATTTGAATTCAGCCAAGATCTTCTGACTGCAAACCATGTCGATACCATTAATATGACAGGTCTAGAGAAACATATCGACGACTATGTGCAACGTGTCGAAAAGGTTTTTTGGCAAATGCAAGCTCAACAAGCACACATATACGAACTGCGCCGTCCGCTACACTAAGAATGATCAGGGAGATGTGATCATGGACCAGGACGAGTATATCAAACAACTACGTCCTATCACACATCCAGAACTTACAGGAGCGGCGGCCGACGCCAAAGCCACGAAACTTATTACCGACATGTTCGTCAGCCTGCGAGGGGCCCTCGCCTATGCCCTTCTTACTCAAATCTGGCTTATGGTATATGTGGTCTCTCTTCAGAAAATTCAAGAGCCCACCAATTTACAAGTCAGACGTTTGAATGCTGTGACGCGAAAGCTGATCAGCAGTCCGAAACGTATCACCTTCCCTCGGATGAAGCCGACGAATGAAGCCGACATCCATAGCGATTCGGGATATCGGAAGCTTACCGGGGAGGAGGATGACGAGACCAAGGGCTACGGCATACGCGGGGCCAACGTACTACGGCGAGGAAACTCGCCTCAAGGCAAGTCCGTCGTTCACCTCTGTGACGGACTATGCAAATCACACCGATTACAGGTGAGGTCCAGTTATGCTGCGGAGGCACTTGCAGCCGCACATAACCTTGATGAGTGTTACCCTACGCTCATTACTCTCCATGAGCTTAAGGCAGGGGCCTTGACTCCACGACAACTACGAGATATGCGTGAAGTTGGAGGCCTTGCTATCAAAGTCTCTCTGACCATAGACGCTGAGTCCGTCTACAAATCTTTATCAAGCAGGGATCTCAAAATACCCACAGAACGGACTCTGCTTGGACATATCAGTTGGATACGTGAGCTTATGGATATAGGTATAGTACATAACGTGCAATGGTGTGATACTAGGGATATGACCGCAGATGGGCATACAAAGGGAAGCATCGATCGGGAACTGCTTCTGGAAGTGATGTCAGGCACTCAGTCATTTAAGTATGACGTGAAGCAATTTGTTCCCTTTCGGGGTCCCGAGGACAGAGACAAACCTAAGTCTAATCAATTTTAGTCTGTCCTTGTTGCCCTCGTGGTCCAGTTTGCCAGCACGGGCGCCTACTATAAAGGCGCCCCTCTAGTTGCTCGGAAACGAGCCTCATATTTCACGCCTGGCAACGAGCCGGCTTCATACAACTCAGGCTCTTTGCCTTAATACACATTTGCTTGGTGAGGTATGGCTTAATTTTGGCCTACCTCTAACTAGGCCGATAGCCCTTCATTATTTGAAGGGGCTGTTCTGTATTTGCGTGAAATACTTCGCGAGGAAACTCGCCTTACAGTCTGGCGTTTGGCCAGTCTGTACGCACTGTTTTCATTTCTTTGCAAACAGTCGTGCGCGCGAATTTTGCGTGCGACTATGCTCTCCGTCTCCTCCCCTCCCGACTTTGAGGGTAGCTCTTTGGGAGATGTTATAGTATCGGGAGCATAGCTCGCGCGCCGCTGCCTTGGGCTCAAGGCACGCGCGCCCTATTTGCCCGGACACTGCTTGTGTTCGCTATGTGCTGGAAAGATCATTACATCGATCTTATCCTATCTTATCCGCCCATTCCTCATACTGTACCCTCACAGCAGAGCGATGGACGCTATTTGCCATCCGATGTCCACGGTCAGCGCCTTGGAATCGGATGCAATTTGAGTTACCAGGCTCACTTTCGACTCCTGGGAGGTCCAGCGGAGTCGGGGGCCACGCGGATCCAGCCGAGACCTCGCAGCTTCTCGGGAGGCTACGACTGCGCAGTTGTCGCTATTTTCGCGGGCTCATGGGAGGCACGGCGGAGATGAGGGCAGCCCTGATCGTGCATGTCTGGCGATGTGTTCCTTTTGCATGGAGCGTTCTTGCAAATATTCGCCTCGCGTGGAGAAGGGGTTGGGCACGTCTCGGGTACGGTAGTAAGTTTCTATTATATCTGCATGTTTCTGTCCATTTCTTCCGACTGACGGGCACCCCGAGAGCCGACGCCGTGACAGAATCACAACGCATCAAAACATTCGAGCTTCGAGGATCGAGGGTGTTGCACCCAAACTTGCCCCGCTCTCCGACAATTTCGGAGACGCATACGGCGAATCACCGCACCACGACAATATAGTATACGGAATGGTTAGCGACGAGTTGGCTGGCGGGGATGAACGTTTGTCGGAGGTGGACAGGCCTCCTGCCCTGACACGTCGATTGGCGAACTGGCCGTTTTGGGCTCGCGAGAGGGCGTCGCGGCCGTCATTTTTGCGGGTCCAGGTCCGTCGGTTTCGGTCCCAGGCCGTTCTCATTGAAGGGAGGTTTACTAAAGGGAGGTGTGTCCACCGCCGAGTTTGGGTGGCCCAGGGTCTGGCACACTGCGTGCGCGAGCGAGGAGGGGGCATCCGGGGCGGGCACTTGGGCGACGCCGGTGACGGCGCAGAGTCGCCAGTGCGGCAGAGGGAAGGGCGAGATGGGGACGGGGAAGGGCTGCAGGCAGGAGGGGAGGGGGCGGAGCTGCAGAACACAGAGAAGGGTAGGGGGGAGGAACGTGGCGCAGATGGAGCATCGACAGGAGCAGCAGGAGTAGCATCGTGCGGAGCACCTCCACCTGCGGCGGCGAAGTCCCACAGCTCAGATTTTGCGATGCGCTGCAGAATGCGCGCGCCAAAACTGGTCCGACCTCCAGCATTTACAGCTCGAGTGAAATGGCACTGCGCTCGAGCTGGTCCTGAAGGGAGCGGGTCCTGAGGTGTTCTGCGGGTGGGTGCTCCCGGGGCCCTCCACGAGCCGGGGGACTGGCAGAAAACGAGTCAGGATGACGGCGCATCGTCGTGGGCGAAGGCAGCAGGGTCCAGGACTTAAGTCGGGCCTGTCCCCCTACAGGGGGATTTTTGACGAAAAAGAAAGAATACCCCCAAAATAATTCAAAAATAATTAAAAATAGTCTGGGGGCTATTTTGGGTGTATTTTCTTGAGCTTTTTGTTGCATTCTGGGGGTATTTTTATTTTTCGTCGAAAATCCCCCTGTAGGGGGACACGCCCGACATAGTCCAGGACCCGTTTCCCTCAGGACCCGTTTCCCCCACGCGGATCACGGGTGGGGATCGCCTGCCGTTTGCAGCAGAATCATGTCTTCGACGTCGCCCCAACATGCTTATCTTCTGTGTGCGTCGCCCCCCCCCCCCCCCCCGCAGGGGCGACGCGCGCACCAAGAAGGCTTACAGCATATGTGTCGTGGCGGGCGCTTGCTGGCCACACCGCTCGGGAAACGATCCATGCTACGAGACGGGTGTACTACAAGTTCGGGTCGGACGCGCGCCTCCGAGGAGGGCGCATGGTACTACTGTGTCTCTGCGCCTCTCGTGTCCCTTCTTCTTCTTCTTCTTCCTCGTCAGTGCGCGAGGCGACCACCATGAGCAGCTGGTCCAAGACCCAGAGGCCCCGCAGCGGCGGAGGGGGGGGGAGAGGCGGCTCCGCCTGCTCTCGGGGATGTTGCGGGCAGCCGGCAGGGCGCGAGCGGCAAGAAGCGGCACGGAGAGTCGAGACGCGGAAGTGAGGATTCGTCCTCTTCGTCCTCGTCCCTCGTCCTCCTCCTTCCCCTTCCTCGTCCTCTTCGTCCTCTTCCTAGTCCTCGTCCCCTGCCTCCTCCTCGTCCTCTTCGTCCTCGTCCTTGTCCCTTTCCTCTCCCTGGGTCAGGGGCTGCGGCTCGCAGGCCAGGGGGTGTTTAAATGGTAGGCCGATTGGAAGTAAGGACTACGTAGCACCCCGCAGTCGATGATAAGAGTGAGGGGGCGGGCGCGGGGTGGGACGCGGGCGGGGCGCGGATGGGTCGCTGGGTGGATCGGGGGGGGGTCGCGGAGGGGTCGCGGGCGTGGACGACGACAACAGAACATGATTCCTATTGTTCGTTCTTACCTGTTCGCGTCCCATTCAACGCGTATATCCCAAACCATCCTCTTCGTGGTCTATCGCGTCCCTTCGGGTGTGTATCTTCCTTACCTTCCACGTGCAGTTGGTGCAGCCCCTGACGCAGGGGAAGAGAGGACGTATGGAAGGGGGGGGAGAAGGATGGAGCACGGGAGAGGCTAGCAGGAGGTGGGCTGGGTGCAGAGAGCACGTGGCAGATCCAGACGGGCTGATCGGGTGGGCAGGCCTGACTGGGCGGGTCGGGGAAGGCGGGCCCCAGCGGCCAGGTCGAGCGGGCGGGTTGCTGAAGCGTGCGCACTGCGTGAAGCGCGTGGAGGTCTCAAGCGATAGCGCGATTCCCAGGTAAGTCGCGATCGAAGCCCGAGCGGGAGCGCGACTCCTGAGCATCGAGGGCGCGGTGTTTGAACACAATGCGGAGGAGTCCCGCGCGAGAGCGCAATTCTTGCAAACATTGTGAGAAACTCCCTTGCAAGAGCTCGATTTTGGAACAACCTGGGAGGAAGTATCAGGCGGGAGCCGTTGTTGTTGAGACTCGGGGGCCAGGACGGCAGCGTGGTGCCCCCATGCGTTCCCCTGCTTATGCATAAAGGTGCGAGCCCCCGGAGGAGCACCGTAGTCGAAGAACAACTGGTTACTGAAGTGGGGTAACAAACAAATGTTTAGACATGATAATGCAACCACACCGCAACAACAGCAATCCGCACCGCGGAACCCTACTTCAGCCACGCGCCCAGGGACAGTGAATTACCGTTCGGTTCCATAGTTCCGATACGGATTATCGAAGACGCCTACGGCGAATCACCGCCCCCAGTCTTTTGGAATCGCCCATAAGAGCTCTGCTCTGCAAAGCTATCGGACCATGTGTTCCCCCAGCCATTGTTGAAACGGGGAACACTTGGGGGAGGATGGCGGGGAAGATCAGGATGATGATGATGATGCTGATGCTGATGCTGATGCTGATGCTGATGCTGATGCTGATGATGCTGATGATGATGCTGATGCTGATGCTGATGTTGATTATGATGATGATGATGATGCTGATGCTGATGCTGATGATGATGGCGGTTATGATGATGCTGATGCTGATGATGATGATGCTGCTGCTGACGATGATGATGATGATGATGATGATGATGATGATGATGGTGGTGGTGGTGGTGGTGGTGATGATGATGATGATGATGAGGAGGAGGAGGAGGAGGAGGCATCTTGGAAGTCTCTCGGGGCACTCTTGGGGCCTCCTGGGGGCTTCCTGGGAGTCTCTTGGAGGCATCTTGGTGGCCTCCTTGGGCCTTCGGGGACCCTTGGGAGCTTCTCGGGGGCTTCTTTGGATGTCTCATGGCATTTCTGGCCCGTCTTGCGCCGTCGGAAACTATATTGGGGGCCTCTTCTGGGCCGACTTGGGACCCTCTTGGGGTGATCCAGGACCATCTTGGAGGCCATCTTGGGCGTCTTGGAGGCCTCTTGGGCCCCCTTGGGGCCCCCTTGGGGCCGTCTTGGGCCGTTCTGTGGCCATCTTGGAGGCCTCTTGGGCGATCTTTGGACGATCTTGGTCGCTCTTGGGCCGTCTCGGACCGTCGGAAGGCCGGAAAGACGCAAATGTAAAAATCACTCAAGAACCTAAGGAGAATCACAGATGTTTACCTCCCGACCTTCCTGGAGTCCCTTTTGGAAGCCTCTGGGGCCGTCTTGGAGAGAGACCACTTGAGGGCCTCTTGGGCTGTCTTGGGCCACCTTGGAGCAATCCCATCTGACGCCATCGGAAGCCGTCTCGGGGCCGACTTGGGGCCCTCTTGGGGTGCTCCAGGACCGTCTTGGAGGCCATCTTGGGCGTCTTGGAGGCCTCTTGGGCTGTCTTGGGGGCCTCTTGGGCCGTTCTGTGGCCATCTTGGAGGCCTCTTGGGCGATCTTGGGGGGATCTTTGGGGGCTCTTGGGCCGTCTCGGACCGTTGGAAGTCCGGAAAGAAACACATGCCACACTTATCCCGGGGCTCTCGGGGCCTTCCTGGAGGCCCTCTTGGAGGCCTCTGGGGCCGTCTTGGAGACCTCTTGTGGGCCACTTGGGCCCTCTGGGACCGTTTTGGAGGTTCTGTGGGCTCTCTGGGGCCGTCTTGGAACGCCCCTTGCCCCATCTTGGACGAACATGGAGGCCATCCGGGACATTTTGGAAGCCATTTAGAGCCATACTTGAAACATCTGGACCGGAAAAACCTTTGCAACGGTCTTCCGCAGGGCCAGCGCGCTGGGCCGGAGCCCTAGGGTATTCGTGGACGTTCGCTGGGATCTCGTGCGAGACTTCTCGGGGTTCTCTTGGAGGCAGTTTTGGAACATCTGGGCGGCCGTTTTGGGGCCTCTTGGGGGCCTCTTGGGGCCTTTGGGGACCTCTTGGGGCCTCCTGGGTGCCTCTTGAAGCCTCCTGGGGCTCTGTTGAAGGGGAAAGCTCACATGTTCTTTTCGTGGTCACCTTCTTACGCCTCTCTTGGCCGTGTTGGGGCCCTCTTTAGCAATCTTGGGCGCCTCTTGGGCCGTCTTAGGGCCTTTTGGGGCCGTCTTGAGGCAGCCTTTTGGGCTGTCTTTGGGCGATTTGGGGTGCCTCTCGGTCTGTCTTCGAGCATCGGAAACCCGAAAAGACGAGAAGGTTACGATTATTTAATCGTTTCGCTGATTCCGCCGGCCCTGGAGCGCTATTTGGGGCCTCTTGGGGCCGTCTTGGGGGCTTCTTGGGGGCTTCTTGGGAGCGTCTTGGGGCTCCTTGGCGGCGTATTGGGCTCCCCTGGGGCCTCTTGGGATCTCTTGGGGGCCCCTTGGGACGGGAGGGGGGGTAGTCGTTGGCAGCCCCCCCCTCGGAGGCCTCGATCCTTCGTGAGGGGCGGCGAAAAATAGCCTCCCCCCTGGGGGTCGCCCGGGGGTCAGCCGGGGATCGGCCGGGGTACTTTTCGTCCGGGGCCCCCCAGGGGCCGCCCCGCGCGCGCGAACTAGAAATATTGTTAAGTAGTTACCGGAGATCTTAGCACGCCTCTTGCCCGTTGGGCCGGAGAATTTGAAGCGATAGTGCCGAATAGCTGTCCTGATTGTCCTCGAAATCCTGGTCGCTGTCATCTGTCCCCCCCGCCGTCCTCCAGCTGCTTCCTATTATATCGTCGTCCTATCTTTTATCCTTCCCTTCGTCTTGAAGTGTTTTTCTTCGAATGCAAATCCTGGGAGGTGAAATTCCGTTTTTGCCCTGTCCGAAATCTGGCTTAATCCGGCTTGATCCCGCTTAATCCAGCTTAATCCCGCTTAATCCCGCTTGATGCGGCTGAATCCGAGGCCCACTCCAGCATAACAGCCTCCCAATGGGGCTCAATCCTCTTTAATATATGCGACGAACATCTCCCAGTAGTTGCCTCCTAATCTCTTCCCTCCTCATCCTTTTTGTCCTCTTCTCGCCCTCACTGTCCTCGCGACAGTGGGGACACGGGGCTCGGGCGCGGCATTCTCGGGTTCTCGCGGTGCGCGGTGCTATCGACGACAACCCAGCAGGGCTGGACCTAAACGATGCTTTTGGTGAATTCGTGGGCCGTTTTCGTTTCGACTTCGTTTTGCTTTAAAGGCGAATTGAAGACAAAACGAAAGAAGACGAAAACAACACGAAAACGGAAAACACCGTTTAGGTTCAGCCCTGACCCAGCTGTTGGGTCAATGCCTGATGCACTGGTGTCACAGAAGTTGATCCAATATTTGACAGTCTGCCTCATGTGAGCCACGCCGGCCTCGAGCTGGCCATCCTCCAACATCACGATCCCCAGCCTTCACGCAGCGGCCGAGAAGCATCTGCCTTCCGTGGGTTCCCTCCCCCGCCTCCTCCTCCTCCTCCTCCTCCTCCTCCTCCCCCTCCTCCTCCCCCTCCTCCTCCTCCTCCTCCTCCTCCTCCTCCTCCTCCTCCTCCTCCCCCTCCTCCACGACCCCCCCCCCCGCGAGACGCGAGGTCCTCTCCCCTCCCAGGAGGGGAGGGCGAGAGGCGGCAGGGCCGCCGCTGGCCCGGGGGGGGCTCTTTCATCCTTGCTTGTCCCCGCCCTCGCCATCTTCGAAAGGCTTCCTGGGCGCCAATCCCGCGAAACCTAAAGGGAGGAATTGACCGGTGCGCTGGGCAGGGTTTGGTAATTAGAGGTTGTGCGGGCTCAATTTCCTTCTTTGCCCGTGGCACCCCAGGATATGTTTCTTTTCCCTTCTCCCGCCTTCTCTTCCTTTCCCTCTCCCCCAGCCCCTGCGCTTCCCGGCGGAGGCAAACGGTTGCGGCGGGGAGAGCGGGGGTGAGATGTGAGATAACAGAAAGGGGAAGGACGGATGGGGAGAAAAACGAGGAGGAGGAAGACGAGGAGGACGAAGAAAGGAAGGCGAGGAGGATGAGGAGGACGAGGATAGAAGGAGGCGGTTTTGGACAAAGAGGGAGGCAAATTATGGAGTTTGTTAGGAGGGGGGAGGGAGCTAACGAGGCAGTGGATTTGTTCGAGCGTGCCGGCAACAGTTCGCTGCGCCACCGCGGTTTGGAAGGATTTCGCCAGGGAGGTCATTCGAACTGTGCCAGATTGCGTCCGGTGGTCATCCTACCGCCAGCGGTGCGGGCCCGCTTCCATCAGACACTGCAGTGCGAATGATTTTTCTTTTGATGGGCCTCCAACTGCAGGACCTGTGCCTTTCCCTTCTCGTGCCATTCGACTGCCCTTCCCGTCAACTCCGTGAACGTGCAAGCTTGCTTCCGCTGCGCTTCGCGCTGCCTGTGTTGCTGCCAAAACGCGCACGCCAAGCGTGCCGGCTCGCACTGCCGTCGGGAACATTCATTCCGGCCGTGCCAGCTCACATGTTGAATGCCTTCGAACCCGACAAGGATTTTGCCAGGAAGTTGGTTCTAAGCGTGCCAGCTCACGTTTGGCGACCATTCTGCTGTCAGCGCTTGTGCAAGGAAGTTCAGTCCGAATGTCAATGGTCGTTTCTTTCGCGCTTTTCCTCGACTGAAAGGATTGGCGGGAGGTGGCCGTTGGGCAGGCGACCGCAATTGTTCGACCAAGTAGTTCTGATATGAAGGAGGAGCACACGTGCAGTATATGATTCGGTTCCAAATTATTCGATTCGACTGTTTTCGAAAGGGGCCATCGTTCGATTCGCAGTTTTGCGATAACCGCTGCTGCATGGTAGGATACTGCTGAGGAGGAGGACACGTGCCGCAGTTGTCCTACGTCATCGCTTGGATCAGGGTCTAGCGCGGGCGGCGCAGTCGTTGTTGCAGTGCCAGGGGCAGACAGGAAATAGGAAGGGGGTCTGGGGGAGGAAGAGGAGGAGGAGGAGGAGGAGGAGGAGGAGGAGGAGGAGGAGGAGGAGGAGGAGGTGGAGATGGAGGCGGGGGGCGGTCGAGGTGACAAGGCTTCGGGCTGCGCAGTATCCCGGGGTTTTCCCCCGGCCGCCCGAACAGCCCCTGGCGGTCTCGACGCGCCCACCCTCGGGAGCGGCGCCAGAGGGTCCAGACCGCCCCCAGGCTACTCTGGGGGGCCTGCTGGGGCCGGCTGGGACACCAGCTGGGACTTCAGCCCCCACGCTGCAGCAAGGACCGCGTTGGTCTAGGCCTCCTAGATGGGGCCAGAGTAGATGGGGTCGAAGGAGCGCGCCGCATCGCCGATGCATCGCCGATGCGGCTGGATGTGGAGCCCGATTTGCTTCACGTCGACGTCGCCGATTTATCGCTGACGTCGACGATGCATCGCTGGTGCATCGCCGATGCATCGCCGATGCATCGCCGATGCATCGTCGATGTATCGTCGATGCGGCGCCATCCTCCGACCCCATGTACTCGGACCCCATCTAGGAGGCCTCTAGTTGGGCTCCGAGGGGCCCCGCTGATCTTGGCTGTCCTGTCGTGGCCGTCCCTCCAGCGCTCGATCCAGCGCTCTTTGCTTGGGCAGCCCCACTGTATCTCGGGGGGGGGGCGCTGACCGTGCGCAGCTCGACAGGGGGGGCTGCCTGTGCGCAGCCCGACGCCCTGCCGGCTCGGCCGCCGCGGCGGCGGGCGCCCCGCGCGCCAGGGACCGGCCGCAGGAGGTGCGGCACCCGCTGACCGTGGCCGGCGGCGCGCCGCCGAACGCCTGCTACGCGGAGCTGCCGCGGGCCAGGGACCAGCCGCAGGAGGTGCGGCACCCGCTGACCGTGGCCGGCGGCGCGTCGCCGAACGCCTGCTACGCGGAGCTGCCGCAGGCCGTCGTGCCGCTGGTGGTGGCGACCGGCTCCGAGGACGCGCCCGCCGCGGAGGGTCGCGCGGGCTGCTGGGCAGGGCGCCCGGGAGGAGGAGGAGGAGGAGGAGGAGGAGGAGGAGGAGGTGGAGGAGGAGGTGGAGGAGGAGGAGGGAGGAGGAGGAGGAGGAGAGGGAGGGGAGGGAGGGAGGAGGAGGAGGAGGAGGAGAGGAGGAGGAGGAGGAGGAGGAGGAGGAGGAGGAGGAGGTGGAGAAAGAGGACGAGGGAGGAGGAGGAGAAGGAGGAGGAGAAGGAGGAGGAGGAGGAGGAGGAGGAGGGTTCGGAAGTCTTTGTCTACCCTTCGTGGTCGGCGCACTCTCTGCTCTGAGCGGGATCCCCGCTGGATTCTGGGAAGTCCTTGGTCCGTCTTGGCCTCCCCACGGCTCCTCGCTTGCGTGTCCCCTACTCCGAGGCTTGAGGATCGAGGGTTCGCCCCGCGCAGCTTACTTGGCTCGCGAGGCTGCTGCGCCACCGTGCCACGGGCGAGGGCGGCACAGTCGCGGCTCCTGGCGAGAGGCCGACGAACCTTGGTACGCCAGCTACGCGTGAGGAGGAGGAGGAGGAGGAGGAGGAGGAGGAGGAGGAGGAAGAGGGTTCTCGGAGGATTATCATGCCATCTATGCTCAGCGCCCAGGACGGGTGGCATCTTCCGCAGCTCCCCGCCCGCACGAGCAGGTACAAGGTCAACCCGATAAGCAGCAGTAGCAAAGCAGTCGCACCATCGATTTGGGCAAACACAAGTAAATGTGCGAGGCTGAAAAACGGGTTTGTGCGTACGGTGCCCGCGTAAGGTCGAAGCGTCGTCGTTCCCAATGTAGCATGCCGCGCTGGCTGCCCGCGTAAATCACCGCGCACGGCCACTATATCAGATCGCATGAGACCCGTTTTTCCCCGTCGTCCATTTGTCGTTAGTCGCATGAGCGGCGGTCGTAGCATGGAACCAGTCGTATCAGTCGTGTCATGATGGCGTGCTTTTGTTGCTGGTTGTAGTCGTCGCTGCAGGCGGAAGGCAAATCCAGCGGCGGCTGCACGTACCAATCAGCAGTACCATGAGCAGCGTGAGCAGCAACAACAAGCGTGTGCACATACGTGAAACAACGGAATTTGGACATTCCAGATTGAATTTGCACGACGTCTATCATCGCATGGGGTGATTATCGTAACTTGGCGGGCGAGTTGGTGCTGCCCTCGCCGTCGTTATGGTAGCTCGCAACACGGCGTTTGTCGGGCCGAGTAGCTCTGCATAGCAGAAGTTGTTGTTGCTAATGTTATGTCGCCACGACTCCCGTTTTGTTTTGCGCACGATTTCCAGTGTGGCGGCGGCTAAGGCACCGCTTCTGCATGGACAGCGAGCCGCGGTGTGTTGTGACGTTTGTGAATGTATTCTGGGTAAGTGTCTTTCGGGTTGGGCGGCGCGTTGATCGTTTTGCCAAGTTCGAAACATTCCTCTTTCTGGGCATGGTTTTTGTTCTCTTGCCGCAGTAGGTTGTTCTGCAAGCCAGCATATATTGTGGACCAGAGCATGCCAGGTCAGCATTCGTTGATGTATTGTTTTGTGCAAGGAGTTGGAGTCAGACGAGGACGACAGGTCCGAGAGCGACGTGTCATATGACGGCGGAAGGTCGCCATTTGCAAGTTTGCGTGAGCGTTCGCTTATGAAAGTTGCGTTCGCAGTCCAGCTTCAGTCTTGTGCGCTGTTGCTTCACCGCGATCGTGGGGCAGCGCCGCCAATAAGCAGCGCACCGATACCTTCATGGCCGGCGGATGAAATAGCTTTTGCTTGTTCACGCGTGGTTGATGTCGCGTCGGGCGTCTTGCAGTTGAGTGTTCTCTTTGTTAGCCCTCCTTTGCGCCGTGGCCCGCCCCGACGGCTCCTTTCGCGCCATGTCGAGACGCTGCGCCACGGCCAGCGGACGCATCGAGGAGCCCAACATCCCGGAGGCGCCAACTGATTACGCACATCACGCTGGGAACTGTCTATCCCGCACGAGGGGCACGGCGACTGTTGGCCTCGGCGTCTGACTGCGTGTGCACTGCGACAGGCGTCGGCAGCGCGGTGCCGGCGCAGGTCCTCGCATGTCGAGATAGTTGGGGTGGGGTGACATCATCCGCCTGCAGTGGGGGACCATGCCACGAAGCACCCCGCTGGCCTCCAGGGTGCCTTGGGTCTCGTGGGTTTCGATGGTTTTGCTGTGGAAGGCGTGACGTTCGCACACCAAAGGGCGATGGGCGTCCTGGAGTCTCAGGGTTGGTTTTCTGTGGAAGTTTTCTTGTGGACTGGCCTCCACTGTAACCTGGAGAAGCAATTAAGACCCCCCCCTCTCTGGCGAAAGTATAACGCTCCAGCACCTTGGAAGCCTTGCCCTGGCACCTCGCAACCTGCTTTGAACGCAGACGAGTCTGCCCGCCGAAACAAGGAAACCGCCTGAGACATTCTCGCAATCTGGCCTCTGTGTGGTTCTGAAACAAGCGCCTCGCCTGAGACATCTTCAGAAATTGCTCTGAACGCAAACGAGTCTGCTGTGGGGGAGTCCTATGGGGGAGTCATATGGGGGAGTCCAGCGGCAGCAGCACGAGTCAGGAGGGGAATAGGGGAATATCTAGTAATCCTACATATTCCCATTGGAATACCGCCCGAGCCAAGGCGCGGGAATTATCTATGTTCCTGTCTTTTGCGCGGTGAGAAAGAGATCGTTCCGCGAAAGCCGCCCCCAGGAATGATTTAATCACGGTGCGGTGCTAACGATAACCCTGGAGGGGTTCTTATTGCTTACTGCGATTAGTCCTCTCCCTGTCTTCCTCGTCCTCGCCCTCCTCTCTCTCCATGTTGCCCTCAGAGGCGGTCAGGCCAGAGACGTCAGGGCTCCCTCCCGTCATGGTCAGACTTCCCTGCCGCCCGACAGCCCTGGGCGCTTCTCGGGCTGCAGGGAGCAAGCCCGCCCGCCGGTCTAGACACCCTGGCCCTGTTCGGAAACGGAGGTCGGCGGGCCATGCATGCGAACGCAGGGAGGCACCTTTTTTTTTTTCTGGGGGCTGCGCACGTGAACGTAGGGAGGTCGGCGGGCTACGCATGCTCTGCTTCGGATCCTCTTGGGAGGAGGAGGAGGAGGAGGAGGAGGAGGAGGAGGAGGCCTCTGGGGCCTCTCTGTTTCTTTGTTGCGGGGGGATCGTGGGGGCATCCGGAGAGGCCTCTCGGGGGCCGTCGGCAGTCTTGGAGGCCACCTCTGGAGGAATGCCTCGACATCTCAATTCGGGGCCCTCTTGGGCCCCTCTTTGGGGGGCCCTTTCGGGCCCTCCAGTGGGCCTCTTGGGTCGTCTTGGGGCCCTCTTGGGCCGTTTCGGGGCCCTCTTTGGGGCCTCGTGTGCTGTCTTGGGGCGATCATGGGTTCCTCTTGAGCAGTCTTAGAACCTTCTCAGGGGCCTCATCGGCCGTCTTGTGGTAATCTTCGGGGTCCCTTGGGCAGTCATAGAAGCTGTCAAGTCGAAAAAAGGCGAGTGTGCTAAAACATCATGTCTTGCGAAGGGAATCGTAAGATGTTGCATCTTGAGGCCTTGGGCCGTCTCGGTGGCCTTGTGGGCCGCCTTGAAGTCGTCGTGAAGCTACTCGGGGCCGTCTCGGCGCTCCCTTCCACTGCCCCACTGCCTTGGCGCTCTGTCTGGGCCCTCGTAGGGGCTCCTTGGAGGCTCCGGAGGCCCGGGGGGGGCGTTGGTGAGCTCCCCCCCCCCTCTGGGCTCCTCACCTCTAGTCGGATTTCACGAGCACCAGGGTGGCCGCCCCACTCCAGAATCTGGCTGCCCCCCCGGGCCGCATTTGCAGCGCTGCGGGTGCGGTCATGGCGTTTGCAGTGTTGCGGATGCGTTGCGGTTGCCACTGGTGTTGCCGAGTTCGGTTTGCTCCGTTGTTCATGGGCGAGGCGCTCTTCGTTCATGGACGAGGTGATACAGGCGGCCTGGATTAGTAGGTCGACCCTGCCAGATCAAGGGTACTCTCGTGTCCTATGTCTTGCGACCCGTGCCTCCTGCATTTCTGTGGCAACGTGGCCCTCGGAAGGGTCTTGTGTCCTCTCGCGTGTCCTCTCTAATCAAGTCCGACTGTAGGGCAAAGGGAAGAAGGGGGAGGGCAGGCGGGAGGCGGGGAGAAGGACGGGAAAGGAGCTCGAGGCAGGACCAGGAAAGGAGCTCGAGGCAGGACCAGGACGAGGGAGATGGGGCCGTACGCGGACAGGGAGGTCGCAGGCGACGTGACTCGGGAGGAGAAAAAACACAGACACAATGAATCGTCGATTCCCCTGAAAACATAGGAAAAATATGGGCAGTGGGGGGGAAAACAGAAATCCCGACAATATGGGAAACGATGGGGAATCCTTCTATATGTGTATATGTGTGTGTATGTTTTTTTTGTTTTTTTTGTTTCTCTCTCTCTCTCTCTCTATGTGTCCCATGTGTTCCAGGGCCCCTTCATTGACTCCCTGGCAATCCCCGAGTTCCGCCCCCGAGAAGTTTGGCCGCTCGGAGCAGGAGGGGAACCCTGAGATGCACCCCACGGGGGGCTGCTCTGACGCACCCCCTCTCGAGGAGGGACGCCCCCCTCCCCCCCCCTTATCGTACATCCCAGGGTTGGGCCCCATGTCCCTGGTCCATTCGGAAGCCCCGCGAAGCCTGGGATAGGGGTCGGCATCTCCCCTGTCAGGAGGAGGAGGAGGAGGAGGAGGAGGAGGAGGAGGAGGAGGAGGAGGAGGGGGAGGGGGAGGGGGAGGAGGAGGAGGAGGAGGAGGGGAGGAGGGGGAGGGGGAGAGGAGGAGGAGGAGGAGGGGGGGGGGGAGGAGGAGGAGGAGGAGGAGGAAGAGGAGGAGGAGGAGGAGGAGGAGGAGGAGGAGGAGGAGGAGGAGGAGGGATTGGGAAGGGTGGCGATGGGGCCGTCGGGAAGAGTGGGCGTTGGAGAGAGGACGGGCATGTCCAGGCTCGAGTTTTGTCTTGTGACGCGCTGAGCATCTTCTGATCCACTGAGACTTGGAGCCGTCGGGCACGTCGGGGGTCCTCTTCGCCCTCCCCCTCGCTATCCTGATGCTTCTCTCTCCCTCTCTCTTTCTCTCTCTCTCTCTTTCTTCGAATGCTCGTTTAAGGACCTTGCTGGGACCCACCTATCGTATCTCGGCTCAAGGTCGGCTCATGTTCGACTCAACTTCGACTCAAGTCGACGGATACTCGACGCAGCATCGACGCGCGAGTGGAGCAAGTGGCTCCAGGAAGGCCCCCAGAACGATCGTGTGACCTTTCTCCTCGTCCCTCGTGGCCTCCTCTTGGCGGAGCGCCCGGGGGAGGTGAGAATGAGCAGGCCTTCTCAGAAGACGGGGGGGCTGGCCTCTCAGAAGCCTCAAGCCGGGCCTGTCCCTTTACGGCAGGAAGCTTCAAGCATGGTTTCAAAATGGTCTCGGGACGATTTGTTGACCATTTGTTGGGAGTATTTGAGGGTCTTGTTTGACTGCTTTCATTGTGTCGTCGAAAAAATCCCCCTGTACAGTAGGGGTCTTGAAGAAGGAACCCTTTTCGTCGGGGAGGGGCTCGGTGTTCCTTGATTGTTTCAAAGTTTGCCCCGGGTGTTCCTTAGGTTTTCCATAGGAGATCGAGGTTGAACTTATTGGAAAAAGGGGCCTCGTTCCTTATTTAGGGTTCCTTAGGTCAACGCCCCGACTGTAGGGGGACAGGCCCGACCCGGCAGAAGCCCTCCGGACGTCTGAGAAGCCTTCTGCGCCGCCCCTCCTCGCTCCCCCCCCCGGGGCTCGCCACCGATCTCCCGCTTGCGCCTTGGCGCTCCTCTTGAGTCCTCCTACTCCCTCCTGCTCTCCTCCCCCCTCCCTCCTCCTCCCTCCTCCTCCTCCTCCTCCTCTCCTCCTCCTCCTCCTCTCCCTCCCCCCTCCCTCCCATCCCTCCCTCCCTCCCCCCCTCCCTCCCTCCTCCTCCCTCTGTCCCTCCCTCCCTCGCCCCTCCCTCCCTCACCTTCCCCTCCTCCTCCTCCTCCTCCTCCTCCTCCTCCTCCTCCTCCTCCTCCTCCCTCCGCTCTCCCTGGAACAATAATCGCTGCTGCCATTGCTGCCATTCCTGTACAGCGCCGAGAGCTCATGCATCTCTGCTTGCTCTTCTCAGCGAGCCCGGCCGCCCTCCAAGGGCACCCGGGCGCGCGTGCCCCCCGCACCGCCGCTTCCCGCTTCCCGCTCCCGTTCCTCTTGCGTCGTCCCGATGCTTGGCATCGCCCGGACGTGTGCCTTTTTCCTTCGGCGAGGACCATCGAGGAGCATCCTTGATCATTTGGCGAAAAAAACACGCACGCAACCGACAAATGCACGGGAAATGGACGTCCGAGCGATGGCCAGGATGGCACAGAACGCCTGCTCGATGCGCGAGACGCCAAGGTCACCTCACTTGTTCGATGTCTGTTCCTGGGAGCCTTGGGGGCGGCGACATGGAGATCGGTTTCTCCTGCATGTGGGCAGCGTGGGGGCCACATCTGGCCCATCCTCCTGCGCCTCCTCTCCACTCCTGTCCCCCCTCCCCCCCTCGTTCTCCTGGCCCCCGCGAGTCCAGCCCAAGTCTGGTCCAAATCCGGTCCAAATGTGTTCCACGTCCGGTCCAAATCAGGCCCAAATTGGACCAGTGCCGGGGGCCACGCAGGCTCCCATGGAACGGACACCAAAGATTTGGTACTGAGCAAATTCTTGGGAGTCTGGTATACCCTCTTGAATCTGTGTTCAGCGTCGGCTAGCATCGATAAGCGTCTGGGAGTCGATGAGATATATAGCGCCGATCTAGCGCCGACTGGCGCCGAGTTGGCTTCGATGAGCGTCGATGTAGCGTCGATCCGCGTCGATCCGCAAGCGCCGACAAGATGGTGTGGGTGGCTCCCATGAGCTGCCCACGAGTCAGAATCCGAGGGGTCCTTACTCTGGTTCAACGGCCCCCAGGCTGACCCTCTTCCTCCTCGTCCTCCGTGCCCTCCTCGCGGGCTGGACGGGTGGGCAGGGCAGGGAGAGGGGGGGCCCGAGATCCTCCGCGCGCAGCGGGTTGCAGCCCCGCCGCCGGGCCCACTCTTCGATACGCGGGCGCCTCCCAGCGCACCAAGGCGCGGGGGAGATTGGCCACGCGAGCTGATTCTCTGTCCTGCCCTTCGCTGTCCTGCCCTCTGGGCCTGTCCTCCACCACCACCACCACAAGTTGGAGGGGGAGAGGGTCCTCCTCCTCCTCCTCCTCCCTCCCCTCCTCCTCCTCCTCCTCCTCCTCCTCCTCCTCCTCCTCCTTCTCCTCCTCCTCCTCCTCCTCCTCCTCCTCCTCCCCTCTTAAGCTCGTGGTGGTGGTGGTGGAAAGCAGTGCCTCCGCGGGCCTCCTCCGCCACAGACCGCGCCAGGTCCATCGACGGGAGCCCCCGGCCCAGACAGAAGGCCCACGTCGCCAGCACTCGGCCGGGGGCCCTCGCGCAGGAGCCGGGGGAGGTTCGGGCACCCAGGCGCTGCGTGCGCCCGGGCGCCCACGCGCCGCGGGCAGGGTCACGATTGGCTTTCAGTCGGCCGTGCCCCTCTACAGGAGAGATGTGCAGAGATAGTCAAAAAATAGTGTGGGGACGACTTTTCTACAATTTTTTGCCATTGTTGAATAGTTTTGGACTGGACTATTTTTAATTCTTCACCCAAAATCCGCCTGTAGGCGGACATGCCCGACCAAATATTGTTTTTGTTCCTCAGTCCGAGGAGGAAGAGGGTATCCATTCCGGTGCCCTTCGGCCGTTTCTCCTTATCGGGCCTGCTGGGAGGCCCTCTTCGCCACCGCCGGATGTGCCTCGAGATGCTCGTCACAGCGCACCCTGGGAGAGGTCCAGGGAGTGACGGTATCGGAACCTGATGGTCTCCCCATCTGCGTTCCCAGACATCCCACGAGATGGTCGCCTCCTCTCTCCTTTCCTGTCCTTCCGCTTTGTCGTTTCTGCGCTCTGGCTTGGTCGTCATTATCCCCTCGTCGTCATTCTCTCCCCTCCTCCTGCTCCTGTTCCTCCTCCTCCGTCTCATTCTCCTCCTCCTCCTCCCCCTTTTCCTCCTCCTCCTCCTCCTGCTCCTCCTGCTCCCCCTTCTCCCTCCTCCCTCCTGCTCCTGCTGCTTTTCCTCCTCCTCCTCCTCCTCCTCCTCCTCCGCCTCTCCGTCCTTATCTCGTCGTCCGATGCTTGACGGGTGTTTCTTTTCCGGCCACGCGCAAAGTCGAGTAATTAGGGGGAGAGAGGAAGGCTCCTTAGAAGGAGGTTGCTTCTTAGAAGGCACGGACATTATCTATATATGTAAGGCCCGCGACTTCTACCCCAGCATTGATCGCGTCGTAAATTAGCCTGGCGAAGGACCCAACCATATGCAGCTGCGAGTGCCGCACGGATATGAGACGAAGGAGGGGGCACGCAAACTGGGCCCCTCTTCTCATGGGCACCGCGCCACTGGGGCCTTCGGTGGAGCTCCCTATGGGGCCACGAAACGTGTGAGGGGTGTGCCGAAATGGGTGGTGGGGAAGCATGCGGACCCTGCCACTGGGGCCTTCGGTGGAGCTCCCTATGGGGCCACGAAACGTGTGAGGGGTGTGCCGAAATGGGTGGTGGGGAGCATGCGAACGCAGCCACTGGGGCCTTCGGTGGAGCTCCCTATGGGGCCACGAAACGTGTGAGGGGTGTGCCGAAATGGGTGGTGGGGAGGCCTGGGGCCTTCGGTGGAGCTCCATATGGGGCCACGAAACGTGTGAGGGGTGTGCCGAAATGGGTGGTGGGGAGGCATGCGAAAGCAGCCACTGGGGCCTTCGGTGGAGCTCCCTATGGGCCACGAAACGTGTGAGGGGTGTGCCGAATGGGGGGTGGAGCATGCGGGCGCAGCACTGGGGCCTTCGGTGGAGCTCCCTATGGGGCCACGAAACGTGTGAGGGGTGTGCCGAATGGGGTGGGGAAGCATGCGAACGCAGCCACTGGGGCCTTCGGTGGAGCTCCCTATGGGGCCACGAAACGTGTGAGGGGTGTGCCGAAATGGGTGGTGGGGAGGCATGCGAACGCAGCCACTGGGGCCTTCGGTGGAGCTCCCTATGGGGCCACGAAACGTGTGAGGGGTGTGCCGAAATGGTGGTGGGGAGGCATGCGAACGCTGCCACTGGGGCCTTCGGTGGAGCTCCCTATGGGGCCACGAAACGTGTGAGGGGTGTGCCGAATGGGTAGGGTGCGATGCCGCAGCCACTGGGGCCTTCGGTGGAGCTCCCTATGGGGCCACGAAACGTGTGAGGGGTGCGCCGAAATGGGTGGTGGGGAGGCATGCGAACGCAGGAGGGAGGAGGGCGAGGAGAAGGAGGAGGAGGAGGAGAAGGAGGAGAAGGAGGAACGCGGGGACCGTCTCTTCAAAACGAGGTCCCAACACCACAGGATGGTTGGGAAAAACAAGACCGGAGGTTTTTGGCTATTTTCGGCTCCGGGGGGGCCCTCGCGGGGCCCCGGGACCGTCAAAAAACGACTCAGGACAAAAAACCGTCCCGAGGAAAGGGTCGGGGTTTCCAGGGACGCCGTCCTGAGAAAATCAGGACGTCGCATGTCTGGGCAAGAAGCATCATCCTTTTTCTCAGAAGCCTTCCCCCCACCTCTGTCCTCCTTAGCGCGACGCCAAGCTGTTCCTTCCCCAGGCATCCGAAGGGATGATTTGGTTCAGCGCGCCGATCTGGGCCCAGACCCACCGAGTGTACCCACCAGGGTGGCGCAGACCTCGCTCCTTTAGGGGGGACGAGGCTCAGGCGCGGGGCATCGACCCCTAAGCGCTAATTCATCGCCGATCTCGGCTCAAACGCCCAGCCCAATCGCAGGAACGTGTGGTTCTGATCTACGATCGGCAACCTAGCGCGATATGTCGCCGATCTATCGAGATGTATCCCGCCCGCCCGGGGGCCTATCGCCGATCTATCGGTGATGTATGGCCTATTCCAGGTCGACGATTCCCCCTCCTGCGTTTCCCCTCATACGGGCTCGACGGCTCTTCTGCAAGCAACTTGTGGGGATCAAGCCATACGTATCGAATCGAGACGAGATGAATCCGGACAAGGCGAGGTAAAGCCGACTCGACCCTGGCATCCAGAACAAATCGTGGAAGCGCTAGCGCGACCTGACGGACACCAGAATCCATTAAGCCCTTCACGGCGGCGAGCCCGAAGTGGAAGCGAGAAGGGGTAGGCCTTCTCAGAAGGCTCGGAAATCCCCAGTCGGGGAAATGTAAGACTCGAGAAAGCCAGAACTCGGATTTGCCGACTTTTTTGACGAGCGCGTCCTGGATTGTGACGCTCCAGTTTTCGTGGGATGTCTGCAGCGGGAGATCGCGTCAGATTTCAGATTTGGCCTCGTCACTTTCATGATGGCCCCGTCAGGCCAACCCGAGTCCCCCGTCCCCGAGTCCTACGTCTCCCCGACCTGGCCTTCCGAGAAGTTCCTTGGGCCCGCTCCGAATACACAGCACACTTCTCAGAAGGTCACCACCCACCAAACCACCCCAACCCAACCCGAAGGCTCAGATTTACCCTCGATTTCCAGAGGGGGGGTGGTCGGGAAACATCGAAAAACACATGTGGAACCCTTCCCCCCCAACCCGAAATCCAGGTCTTCGGGTTGGGTTGGGGTGGTCTGGTAGGTAGTCAGAAGGCGCGAGGGCCCCCGAGAAGCCCCTAGCAGAAGCCTTCCGAGGAGACGGCCCGCTGGCCTGCCGCCTCCACCCCAGGTGGCTGTCCTGGGTTGAAGCTCGCTGAGGGGCAGCGAACGCGATCTGTGTTTCTGGGGCGACGGGGGAGAGGGCAATGCTTTTGTAGGGCAAGAGCAAGCATGGGCAGTCCAATCGTCGGCGAGAGCAAGCCTGAAGTCAGAGCTTCTCGCGAAGGGCGGCTGCAGGGATGCTGTTGACCGATCAAGCGCGCCCGCCGAGCGTGCGGGGATCTGGCCCTGGAAGCAACGCTGCCCCCCCAGCGACCTTCAAGTCCTGGGGACCTTCCCAGAGCCACTCGCTCCACTCGCGCGCCGATGCCGCGCCGAGCGTCTGCCGGCGCTGACTGGCCGCCGACACCGAGCCCTGGGCGGCCACAGTCGGGCCGCCGAAGAAGGAACCCTTCTCTTTGGTCAGGGGCTCAGTGTTCCTTGATCGTCTCAGGTTTGTTCGTACGCTTTTCTGGGGCTCTCTCTATGGGGAATGGAAGTTTAACTTGTGGGAAAAAAGGGGCCTCGCTCCATATTTACTCAGGGTTCCCTGTGACAGCGTCTTGACTGCACGAGGTCGTCCGCGGGGGCGCGAAGAGACGGCTGCGCGGGGCGCACCCCGGGGGCTTGCAGAGCACGCCCTCCCTCCGGGGCGTGGGCGCGGAGGCGACCGCATGCAGCGCGCCGCGAGCCCCGTGCGCGGGCCCTGGGAGCCGACGCCGCGAGAAAGGCAGCATCGTGTTGAATCGGGCGTGTCCCCCTACAGGGGGGATTTTGGACGAAAAATAAATTATCCCAGTGCGACCCTACCTAGGAGTTGGAACCCCTAGGAAAGCAGCATTAGTAGTAACAGTAACGCTAAGCTAAAGCTCAGCTAACGCTAAGCTAAAGCCAAGCCACAGCTAAGCTAACGCTAAGCTAAAGCTAAGCTAAAGCTAAGCTAAATCTAAGCTAACGCTAAGCTGAAGCTGAGCAACAGCTAAGCTAAAGCTAAGCTAAAGCTAAGCTAAAGCTAAGCTAAAGCTAAGCTCAAGCTAAGCTAAAGCTAATCTACAGCTAAGCTCAAGCTAAGCTGAAGATAAGCTCAAGCTAAGCTAAAGCTAAGCTAACGCTAAGCGAAAAGCTAAGCGAAACGCTAAGCTAAAGCTAAGCTACAGCTAAGCTAAAGCTAAGCTAAATCTAAGCTAAAGCTAAGCTAAAGCTAAAGCTCCCAGGGGACTGGGGGGAACCGCTCCCAGGGGACCGGGGGACCGCCCGGGGCGTGTGTAGCACTGCCCGGCCCCTTTGAGAGGAAGAACCCTTCTAGGCAGAGCCTAGGTAGGGAAAAATACTCAAAAGATACCCCCCCAAATGCTCAAAAATACTAAGACAGTCGTCGCCACATTATTTTTGACAGTTTTCGAGTATTCTCTCTGTAGAGGGACACGCCCGACTTAAGCATCGTGAGAATCCAGGACTCCTGGATGGGGTCCGATCGGATGGAGTCGGAGGCTTCCCGGGCCCGGCCCCAGCCCAAGCCCACGGATGCCGTGCGCTCCCCGAGAAGTGCCCTGGGCGGTTTGCCTTCCAGGTCGCAGAGGCACCGCAGGTTTGGGCGGGGAGGTCGGTGCAGGGTGCAGGTCGGCTACTCCAGATTTCGTAATAAAGGAAGGGGCGTCTCATTTCGGGCGGGGGTCTCTTCCAGGCTATCTTGGAGGGCCTGGGGTTCTGGGGACGATGTTTTGGAGGGTTCTCCCACTGGGGAGGTCTGAAATGGCTTGT